GTGATGTTTTACTGACCAAGTGTTGTGAAGCTGTGCCTGGTAGAGGTACATAATCGTCTTACTTTGGGACAAAGGAACCAAAACTTTTAAGTGATTTTCACCAGATTTGACTGCTGATTTTTTTACAAGCAGTTTTTATGTCCCAGTGACTATTAAAATTGCAGTTTCAACTCTCTCCCCATTTATTTCGATATACACACAGTCCTGATAGTCCATGATAACTGCGTGGGGAAGTTTCCAAAATTGCTGCTGAGTGGTGAGATTTGCCTAAAAGGATTTTGGTCGCAGTGATGTAGAATCAGAAAAGCATTTCATCATTACTTATGATTCCTCTCGCTCTTTTTGAAAGGCTGTAGCTTAATGGGGACAGCAGGCTGCTTTTGTGAAATCATAAACACAAAACTATTAGCCCAGATTGTTTTGAGGCAGCTCCAACGACATCATGATAGAAGCTCTAAAATTGTAATGCCTGCCTAAAAGAAAAGCTTTCAAATAGCAAATGCAAAAAATACTCCAGAACACATCTGTAATGTTGGAAGCGTCCAGCCAGAAAAGCTGGAAAATGGAAAACAGAAAATACTAGCAGGTGACGAACACAGGTGTAGGAGTCACTAATAAACAGATAACTTTGGTCCATATGAGCCAAAGGAGCAAACAAACAACTGAAGCTATGCTGTTATAATCAAAGCCTCCCTCCTATAAAGGCCTAGAGCTGTGCCAAAGATGGCGAGAAGCTGACGTGTGCTGGTGTTTTTCATTTTCATTCTTTACAATGTCGTGTCATCTTAATTAACCATATTGTTGCATATCTGTCTGAAGAAGAATCCCTCTTCCTGAGATTTCTATTTTTCTCCTGTCAAGGCTTTCTTTGTGGAGTTTTGTCCTCATCAAAAAGTCTAAAAGTCTGGCTGCACAGACAACTTTGATTCAGGCGATGACAGTCGTACCTGAATGCCTTCAATCCTCTCTGTCACCACGTAGGCGTGATGCATGGCAACGAGAGGAACCTTGACGCCGGCCATCTCTCCCAGTTTGGTGGCCCACACACCTGCAGGTAACGCAGAGAGACAAACGTGTCGCCTTCACTTCTAGATAAAACGAAAACATCTTTAAATTGCTCTTTTCGTCGCGTGCAATGTCACCTCTAATGGCACATTTGCATCAGCGGAGGGAAGCTTCTAATATTTCCCCACGTTACATCAACAGCGCTTTACACCGTGTAACACCTGTGGCTTTGCTGTCTTCACCGATCTCACCTGCACAGTTCACCACGCACGGCGTCTCGATGGTTCCGTGAGCGGTCTCCACTGCCTTCACCTTCTTCACCCCGAGGTCATCGGTTCGCACTTGAATCCCAGTGACGGGGCAGTTCTCGATCACCTGACGCAAAGAGGGCCGTTTGGAGTTAATTACATGCAAAGCTAGGACACTGTTTACGACCTGCTCCACCTTTGCATCAGTCCCTGCATGTTGCACAGTAAATGAATAATATTAAAACCTTTTTAATATCTACCCAGCATCATCTTCAACACTGCAGAAGAACATGGCTGCAGTTTACTGAGCCAATTAAGACGCAGTTTTTATTTTTATTTTCATAATGCAAATAATGTCATATATTTGTTGTTTGATTACAGCTTGAAAATATCACTAATACATTTATAAAAATCATAAAAAATTCCCTATGATGGCCGTTATCCAAGGATGTCCTCATTCCAAAGACACTCCAATTAAAGCAAAACAAGCAGCGCAGCACACGCAGCCACTTAATAATCACGTCTCTTCAGTGTAGTCAAGTGCAATTGTAATGCTAAAGTCAGCGCTGTACGCTAAAGATGTTTTCTCTAATTGTCATCTGAGGGCTGCAATGCAACTGTCAAGAACCGTAATTGGTGCTTTGCTCTCTTTTGTTTCTACTTTTAGGACTGTGTTTTTGGATTTCACGGTTTGATCTCCAGCAGCTGTGCAGTGTCAGTTACTATGGTGATCTACCCAAAGAGTAGCTCCTATTAAAAGCCCACAAGTGTGGACCCTGCTGCTTCCATAAAAACACTGACCCTTCTAAATATGCAGGGCATTATGTAGACTAATGGATCAGGTGAATGAGATGTATTTTGTGTTGGACGTACTCGGCCATTCAAGCCCTCGTCTGTCTGAAAATAGAAATTAATGTTTAGCCGTGCACAAGGTTGTGGCTATCTGCGCTGGATTCTCTGGTGCAGATAAGGCTGTTATTTTTACTCTGAACTGAGTCATGTCACACACATGCACACAAAATCAGACAGCAGCTCAGAAAAGCAAATCACTGGGCAAATTTGCAGAAGCTGCACGCTTTTTCACCAAAAGCAATTAGAATAACAGAAAATATCACAACTTCTGACGAGCTGAACCCATCAGATGTCCTAAAAATAACATAAAATCTGCTCCAGCTTTATTTGATTGGCTAGACTGCAGCTACAAACGTGTATATTCATTGTATTATATATAATGTACAGTATATTCATGGCTAAAATAGCAGATCAGTGCTCCTTACCGTGGCTCCCCTGGCCGAGGCGGCTCTGGTCAGGGTGGTGCAGGTGCCGGCGGGGTCCATGGTGCCATCTGTCGGAACATACAGCGTCCCATACAGGTCGTCTACGTTCATCAGAGGATACAGGTCCTTGGTCTCAGCAGGTGACAGCACATGGGACTCGATACCGTAAACTTTACCCAGCTAGAAGAAAGACGAGATGTTTCATAAAAACGAAAATGAAATCATCAGTTTTGTCACCTTGAAATGAGTTCTGACATGTCAGAGCTTTAAATCACATCAGTGTGTTTGTGTTTGCATCAGCGCTGCATAATCTCTTCAGCTAAACTGAATACTGCAGTAAAAAACAATAACACGGCTCTTAAATGTCAGAATCATTTAATGTTGCTGCAGGTGCAACAATACTGAACAAGGTGCAAGTGTTTCACAGTAAAAACCTGCCAAGCAAACACAACATCTTTCTTAATGTGAAGCAGCTGCAGGTGGCGTTGACTTACAGTCACCGGGGGAGCATTTCATTGGTTTAAGTTTTTAATTAAGACCTGAGAAAAGTTTGCTGCTTTTTTTTTTTTTTTTGCGGCTGGATCAGTTTTACAATGTGCATCGGGAAAGCGAAGTTTCAAGTGACCTTCGAACCTCCAGCACACATAATAAAAAGGTAAACAAAGCCTCCCCCCCAGTGTGCCGCCTCCTCATGTCGAGCACGTAAAAACCCAAAAACCAATTCTGTGTTTAAAAGCCCTTAGGAGCAGCAGCAGCAGCAGCAGCAGCAGCAGCAGCAGCGGGGGGAAACCGGTTTCATGTAACCCTTAAAAAACATTTCATCTCCCCGACAGTGCGAGGCTGTAGCTTCTATCAGGTGTTGTCTGGCGGCGCTTGTGATCACAAGGTTCATTATCTCGCTAATACAATTACTTACGAGCCATTACTCATTAACAGCCACCTATCTCAGCTGGAGAAACGTTCAGTGGGTTTAGAAGCAGACGCATTAAAAACATGCTACATAGAGAGCGCTCTGACAAACCTGGAAAATACTGCATTTATGTGCTTCAGTTTTTATCTTCGAGCCATAAACGTATTTTGGAACCCTTTTGTGGAGCGTTCACACTTAAGACAGCGAACAGCCTTTTGAGTCTGAATTTTACATTAACTAGTTTTCTCAGCTGATGCAGAAGGATAAACCTCAATGTGTAATGATCTGTCCTTTCATCCTGCCACAGCTGCCAATATCTCCAATCTTTTTGAGTCCCTGAAAAAAAAAACTCTTTCTAGCATTTGCTTCCATCTACTATGTAGCAGTCTCCTTGACACCTGTTGCTGCGGCAACCATTTAAAGCCATAATATCAACATCTTTTACCTGCTGAGTACACGTGTGACATTATCTGGGAATTTCAACAGGCAGAATTCAAACTAATTCATCTGAAAGTTAGATTCTTACAAGAAAATATTTTTTTTTGCTGCACAGAAACTGATGTAAAATTCGGACTGTCTTGCTCAAATGTTGATATTGCATTGCATGAACTATTGGTGCAGCAGTGAAGAGGGCTAAATTTATGCCAAAATCCACATTTAGACAAATCTTGTGTCCCATGCTCCCTCGTTATCTCTTCACCCAGCTATGTTTCTATCTAGTGATGCACGATATTAAAATTTCTGGCCGATACCGATATCTGATGTTAAGATTTCTGATATCGCCGATAACCGATGTTACCGATGTCGATATTCAATTTTTGTTCACACTGAAAAATTAGAATAAGTGTGAGAACCTGAGAACTATTCAAAAGAAGCCAATAATACCAAATTAGAAAACATGGTCTTCTTTGTTACGTAGCAAAAGTAAAACATATTCAAACATATTGAAGTCCAGGACGATTTAAGTAAAAACATCTGTGAAATAGCTCCAATATCAAACGTAGAGACGAAGGCACCAAGGTTAGACAATCATCGTTTTTCCACATCGACTAAATTTGTTTATCGGACCAGTATATGGAAAAAAACCCACTAATATTGGCCGATACCGATGTGGTCACCGATATATCGCACCTCCCTACATCTATCCTCTCCTCACGATGCCCACGTCCGTCCTTACCGACATGAGGCGCTTGTACTCGTCCAGCCTCTGCTTGTTGGAGGCGATGAAGATTCCTCCGTTCTGGATCCAGCCTGTGTGGAGACCCGTCTCCTCCTCCAGGTCTTTGCTGATCACGTTCCTGGTGTGGGCCAGGAGCTCCACCTCGACGTCGCTGGGACGGAGCTGCCACAGCAGACCTGGAAAACACAGAGGAGCACGTCAGCAGATGGACAAAAAGACTTGGACGTGAGTGTGTGTCTGTAATGTGAGCACACATGCAGGTGGACGGCAGACTGGACGGCATAAATGACAAACTGTGGATGTAACTCCACAGATTCAGTAGAATTGTTCAACCAACTGACCGGAGTTCTTCACTCACATGGTTTGAAAAAAGTTTCAGAATAGCAACCTGCTCCCTATTTCATCTCCTACCTTGTCTGGTAAGTACATACTCTGTCCATACTCTTAGAGCTTGTTACCTGCAGTGTGCCAGGTGGTGCCAGCAGTCAGCCTGTCTCTCTCCAGCAGAACTACGTTGGTCATCCCCATCTTAGCCAGGTGGTAGATGGTCTGACAGCCCAGACTGCCTCCTCCGATCACCACCGCATCGGCTGACCTGAGACAGTCGGCGGTTAACGACAGGTGAGCTGACGAGGTGACTTTCAAAGCGGGGTAAGGACGAAGCCACTTCAAACTCTCAGTTCACGGAACAAAAACAAGTTGTTTATTTCAAGGGATGATTTGTAATTTCAGGAAAATGTATACATCTGCCATCTTGTTGATTCTACTTATGTGTCGATCTGTTAAATATGAAGATGAAGCCAACAGCTGATTCAATTAAAACTAGCAGAATGACTGCAAACAGGGGAAACAACTTGCTTGGTTCTGACCGACGGAAAGAAAATCTGCAACACATGCTAGTTTATACAAATATTAGATCTGTAAAGGAACAGAAGCAAGTAAAAAAAAGACTTCTGATTTTCCTTTTCTTTCTGTTTGTATACGATGCTAACTGGAAAAGCATCAACTTTCTCTTGTTTTCCAAAATGTGTAACTATTTTCAATCTGAATATAGAAAGAAAAGGTTTCATTTTTATAATTTAGGATCTCAATTAGTGGCTCACATGGCAGAGTGGGTTGTCTACCAGTTGCCATGTTGGCGGTTCAATCCCCAGCCCTTCCACGTGCCAAAGTGTCCTTAAGCAAGACTCCTAACCTGCAGTTGCTCCCGATGGAGGCCCAGCTGGTATGTGGGTGTGAATGGGAAGCATTGTAAACGCTGCTTTGAGCACCACTAAGGTACAAAAGGGCTGCTTAGGTGCAGACTATTGACATACACCCCTAACTGCCATTATGTGAAAGCGCTGTACGTTTTAATAAACTAACAATCAGACGTCTTTTGAGACCGCAGTGATCAACAGGGCGTCTATAATCTGCTCAGGCCTCGCTGTGAGCTCATCGTGAACATTGTCCATTTTCACAACAAGGTATCGATCCTTTAGCTCAACTCATCATTTTGCCAAGCTATGTGGATAATCATCATCAAGAAAAATGCACATAGATCCCGATGTAAAATTACTGTAATTAAAGGGTTCAGTTTAACACAATAAACACACAACATTCACGCATTAACCGTACTTGGGTAAAGGCTTAGTCGGCCCAGAGGAGGCTCCATCCTCCTGTTTGAGCGTCTTCTTGTAGGGAACGTTCTTCTCCTTGGTGTGCTCTGTGCTGTAGGCCCGAGCGCTCGGCCGGCACAGCGGAGACAGAGGAGGCCGAACCGAAGACACCACTCGCCGAACTGCACTCCCAAGGAAGGCCATGGCCCCTGAGGACAGAGCGAAGACATGTCGAAGAATACTCAAGGATTCGGGATGCAGCGCAACTGCTTTTAAAGTTGCTTATTAGAACATTTTTCAGACAGATGACAGGACACATGCTTACAGTTAGTCTGTACTCTGCTTGAACTTGTTGCACAGGACACACAGCGCTCAAATCCAAATTTTGTGAACCCGTACAGCAACTGAAATTGAGTTTTAATTTATACTATATAGCAGAAAGGTTCAAGAAAGGTTTGGCAAGACTGGATCTTAAAAAATGTTCTCTCCTGCCACCAAGGATACAGGTTTGCAGGTGGCTGAAATCTTAACTCTCAAGAAAAGTCTCAAACTGTCCCACAGAGATCAAAGCTCATAGTATCACAGAAAAATTGATTAGGCAGCAACTTTAACATGGTCAATGATTGTCACAGCTGTGGATTAGGGTAAAATCACTCATGTTCGCAGTGTATTTATAGCAGGTCAAGATTAGATGCCCAGAGCAGGGATCTCAGGTCAGGAGTGACTCAGCTTATCCAGCTGATACAAGAGAGAGAATAGAAAAATAAATATTAGGCTGATTAATAATTCCTCCAGTATACAACAGAGCACTTTAAACTCAAATGATTTAAAATGACATCACTTCTCAATAACTGTAGTATTTCTATGCTGAACAAATAACACATGGAAAATACATCCCCCAAAGCAGGAACTCAGTTTAACAAAAGTGAACACAGCTGTGGAAACCTAACCGAGTACACCTTTGATTTCCAATCAGCCAAACTGCATGACTATGGTAGTTAAAACACTTGCTCAGTTCTAATGAGTACTATTAGAAAATGTGAATGTTAGACTGAACAAAGATGAAAAAGGGAAAGAAAGACAGGTATAGTAAAAATCACAAGGTACCAAACAAGCCCCAGTAATCATAGTCACTGCAGCCGTTGTCCCAAAACGATGCCCAGTACAGTGCACCACTTGCACAATCAAGCTCACAAAAAAACAGACAACAGTGCATGTTTCAGACTTGACACAGGGGTTACCAGAGGATATGGTGACAGCTCAGACATATTACATCAACCTATAAGGTCATGTTTAAGCAACAACCACGACCACAGTGAACTCATAGTCCCCACAGTGAAGCACAGAGGCGGGAGTGTGATGAGAAGGCAGCAAAAACAACATGTACAGGCGGCACCATGAATGCACGTGTGAAGGAAAAAATGACTTCCCTCTCTTGGAGTTCAGTTTCTAAAGGTGGTACTGAACTTTTCCCCCTTAGCTCCTATCATTGACCTCCTTAAGTAATAGTTCTATTATTATTATTATTATTATATTATTCTATATTAGCATTAGTAGTATAACAGATGTGAACTAATCTGCAGATCTTCTACAGATTCTTGACCTCATGTAGATCTATTGCAGGAGGACAGGGTAACACTCCCTGTACCCCTCAAGGCCAGACTGAACCAAAGCAACGGACTATCTTTGTTTTCCTCTCACCCATAAATCTAGATGTGGTTCCCACATGAGACCAAAGGCGTGAGAGAAATCCTCAGAATCGATGCTTTGCGTTCATGAACTGCTGCTCTGTTCATGTCACTTCTCCTGATCAGATATTTCAACCTATAAGTCATCTGAGTGTGTCTCTCTGAGTCGGGTTCCTCATCCTACAACATCAGCCTCTTCCAGAGTTCCACAACAGCACGTTTCGTGGTGACTCTCTAGTCCTGCAGAAGCTCGGCAGATGAGGAATAATCCTGCATGACAATAATTCAAAGCAAGAGGGAAGGAGGGAAAAATGTAAAAACTATGACTATATCAAAGACAAAAAACAAACACCTTTGAGGGGGATTGTAAAAAGAAAAGTAGAGCAACACCACCACCTCCAGTGAAAACAAACAATCACTATGAGCATCTAAATCTGTGCCACGGTGGGGTCTTTATATTTGAAGAGTTCATTTGGAAAAACACATAACTCCATTTTAGTGGATTTTAAGAAAACTTTTTTGTGTGTTGTTTGCTTGAGATGATATCAATCAAACTGACGTTGAGTGAATCTGACTCAGTAGAAATGACAAGAACAGAGATAACTTAAGTTTGATTGATATCATCTCAGGTAGATGATGGAAAAGTGGGTTTCCTTAAGGTTTGTGAAGATGGAGTTCTCTGTTTTTGCAAATGAACTTACATGTAAACTGTTTGATTTTTCCAAAACAAGTGAGCAAGTTTGAATCATGTCACATTTAAGACATTCATGCACATGGGCTGGACTCACTCCTGTTGTGCACCAGCTGGCATCTACACCTTAATGCCAGTGAATGAAGACAAACAGGTTTGCATGAGGAATTAAATGCTATCTGTGGAAACCTGCTGCTGGCTCACTCGTGCATTCTCCTGACAAGACAAATCAACAACAATAAACTTCACATAGACTCGTGTAGAAGCGCATCAGCTGCAGTGTTTGTAACCAGACCTCTGTATAGTTAACGCGCAACAACACCGCGCACGAAGCAGCCCGAACACTTCCGAGGAGGAGACACAACAACGTGGCACAAGAATCAGCGTGGGATTCCTCTCACCGCCGAATGCAACACGACGTTACCAAGTTGCATCCTGCTGTAACTTAGTTGCATGACAGCAGGTTGGCTTCCTCTCGTACTTACGCTCGATTCCTCCCGTTAAGAGTCCGGTCGGTGCAGGAAAACACGCTCGACTGCAAGACTTGCAAGACACCAAAAAGCAGGAAAAAGAAGGAAAGTGCTTTGCAAGAAAGTAACGGGGGTCCCAGAAAGGTGGAGGGAAATAAAAATGGCCGAGTAGTTCCGCAGAGAAGCGGCGGTGCTAGTGTGGCCCAGGAGGCTCAGTTCAGGAGCTGTCAGATAGTGTAACTGTAGTTCCTGCCTTCACTCCTCCCCTGCAGCTCACAGGACAGGAGGCAGGCAGTGTGGCACTTATTCACAAATTAGGTCACACATGATCACTGTGCTGATGCATTCTGTAAAATCCTGCATATTTCCTGAATGGAAATCAATGGTAGGATGAATGCTTTGCAGCAAAAAGCACACATTACCCAGCTGCAATAACACTGGCATGATCCTAAGTAGCTAAACATGAGCTCCTGACTCTTATTTGTGTGATCTAACAAAGGATTTGTTTGTTTGCAAGCCTAAAACACTGCAGGTTAAGTCTGCAAAGATGTGGGAGACAGAAAGCGTTTGTGTGTGTTTGTGTTGTTGGAGGATGTCGGGGTAACAGCTGCTGCTCAAAGTCCTTCAGGCATCAAACCAAGCAGAAGTAGAACATCTGAGCATCATGTATGTGGAGTTTGTGCTGCACGGGATGAACAGCTGCGGTAGTTTCACAAAGGAAAATGTTTTAAAACTCCACTAACTCCACATTATGAAACCTTACGTTTGGCAGCCATGTGCAGCTGCCAAGCTGACCTCAGGCGTCCCCACCTCCTAACCAGCAGCCAATGCAGTGCTGAGTTTATGTTCCCTCCTGTGACGGGAGGTTCTTTCTAGTTCATACAGCTTTGAGCAGGACAGGAGCTGAACGTGGGAGCTCCAGCAAGCCCCTCTATCTTCTTACTGGGAGTGTTTCTCTACTTTTGTGCCAAACTAAGAAGCAACCTTTGATCCGTGTTGTCCTCCTCCAAGCCTTTTTTTTTTTTCCCATGTGGTTGAGTAACAGTTTCTTAAGCACATGTGCGATTCATTCATGCTGGTCTGCTGACGTAACGTTCCTGGAGCACATAAGATCAAGTGAACTAGATAGATGAGCGCATGTGCAGACGGCTGTCGTGTGATGAAACGTGTTTGTTTGTGCCTGCAGCAAGTGCTACTGTGTGCAGACAGAAAGGAACCTGAGGTGTGTCAGTAGGCGCTAGGAGTCCTTCCCGGTCACGCACTGGAAATCAAAAGGTTATCAACTTTTATTTATTTATTAACAAGCGCTTGGATTTTGCTCCTGCACAGAAATGGCTGACAGTTTAATTGCTTTCATGTTAAGAAGTGGAACAAGCAAGTTAACGTCTAACCGACCGGTGCACCTCGTCGCCCAGGTGTTGTCCAACGGTGTGGAAAGCTCTGAAGAAAAAAGAAAACACAGGTAGACCAAAAAAAGGGACCCACAGAGCTGTGAAGAAGAACACGACAACATCAGTCAGTGACAAAGTGCATCACAGTCAAGCTTTTAGAAGAATTTGACGGAAGAATTACTGAGGCTGTGCTGCAGGCTGCAAACCTGTCATCATCAGCAAGAGACAGAAAGATGGATTAGGATTAGTCACAAAACGTTCAGAGGCACAGGTTAGCCCATAATTATCCTTTAACCACACTGATGGGAAGCAAGAAATGTGGAGAAAAACCTGAAGTGCCACTGATCCCAACCATTCCAGTTCATCAGCAACCGGTTTTTATCAGTGACAAAACTTATCAGATTTTAGGAACACTGGGTGTGTCATCTGCACAAACTGTGAATGTATGTCTTGAATGTACATTCCTTGCCACTGCAGTTGACTCATGACATCGAGTTTACGAACAGTACTGACTCCACATCAGCATAAGCTACATAAATATGATCTGGTTTCACTTGGTCAGCCTTGATTATGGCAATAGAACAGATAAAGATGCTTTTTTGAAATTCGCTGTTGAGTAAACACATCCGTCAGTTCATAAAATAAAGAATAAAAGTCACAATACGTTAGCCTCATAGCATAATTGCCTAAGTCAGTTTTTGGTCAAATTGAGATATTTGCCTAACTTTACTCTCCTATCACTTCTGCATCATCCTGTCTTTCTACCTGTGTCATTGGCCAATCACATCTGGTTGAATGTACTGTTAAAAAATCAATAATAAATACCAATGTCATTTCTAAAAATTGTGTTTTTTCTCATTTCCCAAAAACATGAAAATATGACTTTGGCAAGTATGCTATGAGGCTAACGAATAATGGAAAACTGCAAGTGTGTTTCTCAAGATTTTCACTGAATCCAGGAGATAATCTGCTGCATGTCCCACCTGCATAACAACAACACCCTCTAGTGGTGGATTTCTGTCAGTACAACCTCCACGAGTAAACTCCAAAACAACATTTCGAAGGCTTAAAAAACTCTTTTTTTTTATTAACATTTCAACAGTTTGCTCTCCAGTCGTCCTGACATTCTGTTTTACAACAAGATTAAAAAAAACGTGTTGCTCGAGGACGCTGAAAGAGGCGGAAAAGCCATTGCACCTTAATCGCATGCTGTACATCATCAATCATCTCTCAGAAACACTGAGAAAGACCCGACAAATAAATTAAGACATATGCAGGCAGAGAAACACAAAAAAGAAGAAGAAGTATAATTGTAGTGTCGCTTGATTGTTCTAATTTAAATCCACGAGAGATGCACGAATTACAACATCAGTTACCGGCGTTGTTACTCTGTCTAGACGTTCCTGGAGGGAGATGGAGGGAGGGTGATGCTACATAAAAACATATGGAGGGTTTTGCTTTAATATGGCTTTTAGAGACTTCTGCTACAGCACATATGTGGCAATTTATGTTGTTTAAAAATAAGAAAAAGCACAAGAAGGTCGTTTGTTTCTCCTCCAAGAAGCGGAAAACACCATATGATCAGTAAACTGGAATTAATTTGTATTTCAAGAGCCTAAAAGAGAAAGTCTTTACTTTATTTTTTATTTTTTACAGAAGCTCTTAAGATTACCACAACATAGACGACTGAGAAGCTCCACAGACTCAACACCAGACGAACCAAAGCTACACTACACAAATATTTGAACGCCCGCTGAATGAATTTGCTCGCTTTCCTGGAGCGCGTCTGTCGTAGCAGTGGGATAAAACACAGAACGTTAGAGTCATTATGCAGTAGTATAATGCCAAGGATGTGCACTGCCAATTAAGACAGCCTGAAATTACATACAGGCCTTTTGTTTCCAGTTAGTGTTGAGCTATTAAAGGTTAAATTACTTTTTCTTTTAATTACATTGGAGTAATGTCAGATACGCTGGCAGCACACTCTTCTCTCTTTGGTAGGTTAATTTGCAATTATTATGCTTGGATTGATCTTAAGCATTGAAAACCGTGAGGCCTAAATAAATATAAAAATGTGAAATATCAGCGTGCTAACGAGCCCTTGGTGGAAATCCAGGTATCGTAGTAGCTCCGACGATGGGGTTCAGTTGGCGTGGCTAAATGTGGAATGTACAAATATTACAACAGCCATGGAGTAGAACAGTGGTTCTCAAACTGGGGGTCGGGACCCCCGTGGGGGTCCCAAGATAATTTCAGCCAGATCATTGTAAAAAAAAATAAAAAATAATAATAATAATAAAGCCTACATTTATCAAATAAATTTGTATTAGGGCTGTCAAAATTACAAGTGTACACTTCTTCCCACTCCTTTTTTGAACTTGTTATTATTATGATTTAATTATGCAATGGTACTATTATTCTTTTTTGCTCTTTTTTAAATTATTTTCTTTTGTTTTTATATTTTTTCTCCTTTCATTTGTTTGAAATAAATTCAATTCATTCAATCGTTCAAAAGAAAATGTACGTGTTAATGTAAAGAGATGAATCTGTGGAATTAACACATTAATTTTTAACGCATTAATGCACGAACAACAGGATTATTACTCATGAGATTCAAATTGGGGGGTCACGAACACAAACTTATGTTATCTTGGGGGTCGTGGCTCAAAAAGGTCTATCACTGGAATAGAAGGTGGTCCAAGTTCATCCACTGATGTTGACAAAGTAGAAGCTTAAATTGTTCAAATGCAAACATTCAGTGAGTTTGAGTTACTAGTAATAGTTGATGAATACAATCTGGTACCACTGAAACAGCTAAAAACTGTCCAAGCTTTAAAACCGTTGATGCAGATTGAACTGTATCGCTCAATAACCCCAGTGGACGACACACACGAGCAGAGGAATGGATAGAAAGACAGAAATACCAACACAGAGAGAAAAAAAAAAGAACAAAAGCTACAACGATTTCAGACTTCTGTCCAGACTTTCCAGGAGTTGTGAACAGTGCAGCTGCTGGAGCCTCAGTCTGTGACCAACAGATTAACAAATATACTTTTGTTAAAGCTACATCTTTGTTATTTTTTTTTGTAAAAACTCAGATTCGCGTTATAAACATGCAACCAGGACAAGCGTACATTTAACCCAAAGTGATCTGACCTTGATATCCTCCGTAAAAAATTGTAAAACCTTTTTGAATAAGGCACCTAAACATGAGAACAAAGTAAAAAACATTCTAAACATTGGATTGTTTCTTGAGAAAAATCTGTTGTGCAAGTTTGCGCGTTTGAAATGCCGAGACACCGCCTCAGCAAACACTGTCCCTGATGTTGTTTCCCCCTTAAGTCCATCCTATACCAAACACCTTCTACAATTGGAAATACCCAAAGTCCAGTTTAAATGACGCCGAGCGTGTCACAGAGCAGACCGAAATGAAGTCTGAGAACACTTTCTCTTCTCAGCATCTGTCTCTCTGACCTCGTGGCCTTTTGACCTGCAGGTTCTCCACAGCCTCGTCTGCGCCGCACTAAAGTTCATCCTTGTAGGCAGCTGACAGCATCTCGGGTGGCGGCGAGGCCCCTTTCAGGGTCTTGTGGGAGCCCCTCCAATCGGTCCTGACCGAGTCGTCGTCCCACAGAGTCGACGTCTCCGTGTCGCTCACCCACTGGGGGTCACCGGCGTAGTGGCACGGCTGGACCAGGAGGGGGCGCACACTGAAGGCTTGTAGGTTCCTGTTGGGGAAGTGGGACATGTAGTCCTCGCTGCAGAGGGAGAACACAGACGGAGATTACATTGGTTTGGCTTGAGCTAGTGGAGAAAACACATTTGGTAGGTTACAACAAAAGCCTCCTGATAACAGAAAGAAAAACTGCTTTGGAGATTCAACATTTGTGCAATATTTACTGCAATTACTAATCAAGAGATGCAGACGGAGGCCGATTTCAAAGACAGTTCGGTTACTCTTAGCATGAAGGGCGACAGAAGGACCAATGTGTGGGGCGCAGTCGTTGTGTATTCTTAGCGGGGCAGTCAAGCATATCAAATTAGAATCACAGAGGTGAGAGAGAGACCAAGAGAGAGAGAATAGAGAGAGTGGGTTGGCTATAAGCCAGTTTTCCACACATGATGGAGCACAGAGACACTAGCGAGCCTTCTGGTTTGCAGATCCTTCAGCACAAAGTGCATTTAATTCCTCGCAGCCTTGTGATGAGCACAGTTGTCTGGTTAGGACTAATGTCAGGGATATTAGGCCCAGCAGTAGGGCCAGGGCTTCATGCAGCAATTAGATAAAAATAGTCTGGAGGTGAAGCTGATATAAAACCGTGTCACAACTAATGTATATCACAGCATCTTTGTATCGATAGCACACAGCAACCACGAGCTACCTACATGTTGCCTGGATTAAGAGGATCAACAGATAGAAGAGGAAAAAAGTAATAATAGTGAATATTAGTTATGAAATGCTGGGAGGCGCTAAACTCTGTGTCTCTTTGAAACTGCTTTGGATTGTTTCTATTGGACGGCCTCTGAGACCATCATGAATGAAAGAACAGATACAAGACCAAGAGATCAGAGCCACAAGAGCAGCTCTGTGCTGTAACACCCACTATCTGAGCTACACATGCTCATGAAGACATTTGCTAACATGCTAATGCTACGTAGGTATAATGTTTACCGTCTCAGTTTGGTTTATTGGTATTAAACCCACAATAAAGCTGAGGCTAATGGGACTCTTATTAGTTCGGTTATAAGGCAAAATATGGGATAAATTCAAATTTTAGCCTCATGATGGCATAAAATAAAAGTTAAAGGTCCCACATTGTGCCGCTTTTCAGAAAATTACCAATGATGAGGTAGTAAAGTAATATGATATTTTGGTAGCACTAGACGAAAACCTATGAATGTATGCTTTAGCCACACATGCTCCGTCCTGCAGAGACTGACGGCGGTTTGGAGACCGTCCCAGCTCACACTGGACAGGTCACCGGTCCATCATCCACACACACTTACACCTACAGCCAATACAGAAATACCCTGCCATGCATATCTTTGGACTGTGGGAGGAAGCCAGAGCACCCACAGAAAAGCCACGCAACCACAGGAGGAGCATGCAAACGCCACACAAAGAGTGGAGCAGCAGGTCCAGAGCCAGACAATGAAGCGACAGCATCAACCGCTGCAGCACCGCGCTGCCCTCGGTGTAAATACCGTTCTGATAGTTCATAGTGAAGTATTTTAGTGGCGAAAACATGCTGGTGGCACCAGACTGCAAATCAATCTATGCCAGTGGAATTACATGCCCTGGGCACCGTAACTGCCTGTGCAAAACTTAATGACAAGCCATTTAATAGCTCTTGAGACACTTCACTCTGCATCGAAGCTGTGGACCGGCCGACCAGCGCCGCCACCCACGGAGCCAGGCACCAGGATGGCTAAAAATGTCAAGACAAATGTGTCTTTTCTTTTAAGTCTGCCACAAAACACATCAGACTCCCCTCTGGCTCCTCAGGTCACGCTGTGGCTAAACAAAGTGGCAGCACACATCGTCCAAAATCCAGACAATCAATCCCAGAGCGAGAGATGCTGCCTTGAAGCTGGTACATAATAAAAAACAAAATGTTCAGAACTGTTCTGAAAATGTGGCGCTGTAATTGACAAGAAGTACATATTAAAATGTCTTATTTTCAGAGTAACTCACTGAAGTAGAACCGCAGTCTTACTATAGTTCTTTAATCTACAACCTCCACACAAATCTGAGCTAAACACAAAACGTCTATACAAGTTTAGGCAGCTATAGGAAAGAATGCTTTTAGCAATTATGAGGTCTGATTTAGCTTTATGGGTCTCGCAGCAGAGCGAGATTAAAGAGTGCTCGAAGACAGGATTTGATTTAGAAGTCACAAAAATATTCATCAAGATCAAAACAAGACATACGTGACCTTAAGTGAGCGCAGAGTGACTGTAGACATCCACGTATACGAAACAAATGAGCGGATTTCTGTGAGTGGATTCACTGCCGCCGTGATACATACTTGGGATGTTTGTCATACATGATGGGGAGGAATTCATCCACAGGTAGCATCTTGGAAAGCGGCTCAGCGTTGAGCAGCTTCTGGGCTCCCTGCAGGGAGATGGCGTAGGACAGCGTCCAGTACGAGTAGCCGGCCACCACCAAGTTCCTGACATCGTCCACCGGTTCTTCGTTTCCAGGATTCACCTGCTTCCTCCCAAAGTATCTGTGGCAACATGAAGCCAGTGTGAGAAATAAAGGAGGTGAAGAACCAAACAACACTGAAGAAGAAAGAAAGGCATGTCCAACATACTAAAATCTGTTGCTATTTTGCTGTTCTTTGCTGCCAAACAGGCTGGAAACTATTTTTTCTTTTCATTTTTTCAGCAGATGTTCTGCATGTGTCGAACACGTGGCCGCCACAACACGCACAAAGAAGCTGATGGATACTTTTAGCTTTCTTTGATCGTGCGTCTGAAGTTTTGTCCAACGATTTCACTTAAAACCATTTATTTCTATGTACTGTAAAGCAGAGATTGTAACACGCTTTGGATAGAGACCCACAGGAAGGAACATTTACACACTGAGAACATTCAACTCTCTTTAAATAAGCCATGAATAATCTATGCACGCTGCTGCTCTCTTGGAGGTGGATTCTTCTTCTGACCTCATTCCTCAACACACAGCTGGTTGCTGCTGTATTAACTCATCGTGACCTTGCGCATCTCTGCCCAACCGAAACAGGAACCGCGACGTCTTACATGATGTCCCAGTCCAGCTCCACCTGCTCCACCTCCTCCATCAACCTGAGGACGCGCCGCTTGAAGTTGGCCTGGAAACGGACGTCGTCTTCGAAGAGCAGCGCCTTGTCCATCTGCATGTCCACCATCTGAGGAGAGAAAAGGCATTTATGCACACTGTAAATCTCACTTATTAAAGAAATCTGTCCTTTTTGTTTTGTTTTGGGTTCAGTTTTAAATGCAAAATCCCAATTTGCTTAATATATTTAGTCAAACTGGAGTTCATTACTTCTATAAAACTGTTAAAAGTTAGTAAGTCTTCACTCCCACAGACAAATTAGCTGAATATATGATAAAGGATTCAAAAAAAATCACAAAAAAACTGCAATCAGGCTCAACTTTTATCAGCAGGATGTCCAAAATAAGAGTGCTCGATGGCATTGCACACATTTTCTGAAGGCCGCAGTAAGTCATGCCAGCGAATCACCTCATGCTTCAAGCATGAGTAAGGGCCGGCCACATCTGTGTTTGTTCCCTCACCTCCTTCCAGATGTAATAGTGGCTAAGGAAGCAGCCCACTTCTCCTTTGGTCAGAGTGCGTCCAGAGAACGGATCGTAGTAGCCCGGCAGCAGGTCCACGCCCAAGATCTTAATGTCGCTGCTGTTCAGTGCGCTGCATGCACACACAAACACAAACACAAACACAAACACACAAACACAAACACAGAAACACACACAGGTTATGCCAGGAAAAAACACGTAACCCGTCTTGTGCAACACCGAAATGGAGAACATCTGCAGCATGGAGTGTGGTTAATGATGCAGCTGAATTTTATAATTACGTTCTCATAGAAGTTGTCAAAATTTCTTTCGACACTTTCTTCCAAAGAG